GACTCTCATCTAAATAAAAATTTATTTTTCTTTAGTTTTGATGTTTATATGACTGCGATAGCTGTGAGACTCATGCTCGACGGGGCTACACAAAAGAGACTAGAGACAATATGATGGGTCCTTACGGCCAGCGCATTGTCTTCGACACAAGTACAATATTGTATATTGGGCAGGCTGAGGCCTAGTTGGCTGAGTGATAAATTGCTGGCTGCAGACGCCAGGAATTGTTATGAACTGTTTATGCCCAGCTGGGCAGCTGAGGGCAAACGTAACGCCCGCCAATTAATAGAGGGAGGACAACCCCGGCTGTTGTTGTTGTTTTTGTTGCTGGAAATGCGTACAGTTGCTGCATCTGTATCTATCAGAGCTCAATCAAAGTCTTTTCACACCTTCGGGCGACTTATCGCACGTATCGATCAATCGATCGATCGAGCCTAGAGTGATGTCAGCAGACCCGAGTCCCGCATTGCTGCCGAATTGAAATTGGGATTGGAATTGGGACTGGGATTGGGATTGGGCAACAGCAACCATAACAATCGTATTAATCGTGCAATAGCAAATTAATGCAAGCCATTGTAAGGCTCGACACGATTCCTGTTAGTAACGCTGATTAGGATCTAGCCGGGGCCTCACGCACACCGCACAAGCATCTCCACACACATTAATGTGTCAACATGTGCGATAAGTCCGCATCCAGCCAGAGAACACACAGTAGTTGTCGCTGCTCGCTGGTAGCCCACAAATACAAATAATTCTGATGTCTAGTTCCTGGTAGCGAGATAATGTGTACAAAAGATACGATAAGGATCGCACACACACACAGACACACACACATACACATGCGATTCGTGCGAATGTCACTGCGACCACAACAATGTGCGCATAATGAGTGTAGAGACTGTAACAGAGTTCTGCCAGCAGCCAGCAGGATCTCAGCGCTGAGATATCAACAGAGAAGAAGAGAGAGGGAGAGAGACAGAGAGTAAGAGAACTCCCGTGAGCGTAATTCTCAAAGCCATAAACTACACTTTTTTTTGGCCGTCTCTCAATTTGGAATGCCTCCGTTTGGCATGCTACATAAATCTTTTGGGGCAGGACAAGCGCTTGAGGAAAATTTCATTGTTGGATTTTTATTGCAATATGCAAATGGTTTGTTTGCCTTGATTTCCACTCCATCTCAGCCCAGGCTGACCTTCAACCCCTCCGCGCTTAAAGCATGCGGTTGACCGCATTCTCAGCAGGAAAAGGGTTGCATTCAGCTCGGCCTCGACGCAGTTGCTCTGTCTTGCTCTGCGCGCTAACAACTTGATTAGAGAAACTTGCCGTACATTATTCTTGATTAAGTCACATTAATTATGATAATGATGACGACTGTCTCGAATCGGCAAGAGAACCAGACTCGGGGTTCTTCTAAAGAGCGACGCAGGCAATTGAAACGGGAACAGGATATTGTTTGACTTCAAGGTCCACACAATGCAACGACGTGTGCGCGAATAAAAAATGAGCACAGCAGCAGCAGCAGCAGCAGCAAAAAACGGCCATAAAAACAGAGAATAGAGAAGCAAGGAATTATATCTCTCTCTATATATATAGGTAAATGTGCGTGTGTGATAAATGTCAACTTCCTGCTCAGCATCCGACACGCCTGAACTGCCCTAGCTGATTGTCTGGCTGGCTGGCTGGCTGGCCGATGACTTCATCAGTAGGCCATCTAGATTATATACGGAAGTTATCTAATAACGGCTGACACTTTTAATCCTTTTATGAAATTAATCAAGTGTGGCCATGAAAGATCCCAAAAAATGAGAAAAAGAGAAGACAATAAGGGAAACTCCGAACTGGGCAGCTGCCAACTGCAGATGCAATTGACTCGCTATAGAGTTTGACTTGGCTAATTGTTAAAAAAGACTGAATAAAAGAGACTGAGGGTGGCATTTATAGATATC